TTAGAGTACCATGAAGGAAAGATAAGGGAACCGAATCGAAATTGAGATATTCTGCACACCAGTTTTCATACGACTCTCATGAAAATATTTAGCGGCCCATATTCACTGTGTGTGTGTTCCACTCCCCCCCTTCTCCCTCCGCCCCGTACTTTGATAAGAGGACAAAAAGAGGGGCAGTAGTAATTGTTAACCCCCCCCCCCCCCCCCCTCAGGCCCCGTCGCTCACTGATCTCGAAAAAGAGTCGCACGGGAAAGTTATAGTTTGTACAAACCAATTTATTTCGATGAGACCTTTTATTAGAATACCATGAAGGGTAGAACATGCTTAACGTGGCTGAAATTTTAAAATATTAATTTACCTAAATGGCAAGAGCTTTCGGACGCATCAAAACTAATCGAAATATCTTGACGAGATCGGTTGCAAACGGCGAATTAATTGCAGCGTTATTTACCGGTAGCGGCGGCTGAAACACAACGCTAGGAATTAAACCAATTATCTTTATCTTCTATTTTCAACTCCTAGAACCAATACCAGTACTTTCGTTGCGACACTGTGCGCCCAACTTACAACGCTTCTAGACTCGCTTCTAGATACCGGGTGTTCATCTACAGAGTGGTCATGAAAGTATGTAAACTTTAAGGCGCAAAACGGGTGCTTCGTTTGTAACGGCGGATTAAGTTGGCGCTTTTACTCTCACACCTGCCGCATAAACGGCCAACTAGCTCAGGGTTAGGAAACAAAAAAATTTTGAGATAATCTTCGTTTATTCGTAACAACTTACCAATGGGCCGAGCGCCACCTAGTTTCTTTAAACTATAAGAACTTACCCTGTATATAAAAAAACGAGAAAAATATAAGGGAGACTAGCAATAATAAAGCCAATAGGAAACGATTGGTATCTATTAATCTTCAATGACATTAAATATTAAATTAGCAATTGAAATCTAATCTCCCGCTCTCCTACATAAACTATTACACAGAATATTTTTCATTTTTATTAATATTTTCACAGAATGCAAAAATTTTGCCTATACTCTTCACCGATACATTTGAGATTCCTATTCTACATGTCCATTGACCTAACAGAGCAAGGTCAGCAGAACACAGTCAAACATATTGCATAATTAGGTGCCCTATTCCCGAATTAAATGCTCCTTTTTTTTTAATTATTACATGTTCTGCCAGGTTCATATGAACTCAGCAGAGCACTACCTTAAAAACCCAAGAAAATGAAAAGTGAACTAAGTATAATTAGGTGCTAATTAAGTGTCCTATTCCCGAATTAAATGCTCCTTTTTTTAAATTATGAACCTGGCAGAACATGTAATAATTTAAAAAAAAAGGAGCTCGTAATGCGGTAATAGGGCACTTAATTATCACCTAATTATAGTTAGTTCACTTTTCATTTTCTTGGGTTTTTAAGGTAGTGCTCTGCTGAGTTCATATGAACCTGCCAGAACATGTAATAATTTAAAAAAAAAGGAGCATTTAATTCGGGGACAGGGCATTTAATTAGCACCTAATTATAGTTAGTTCACTTTTCATTTTCTTGTTTTTTTGAGGTAGTGTTCTGCCGAGTTCATATGAACCTGGCAAAACATGTAATAATTAAAAAAAAAGGAGCATTTAATTCGGGAATAGGGCACTTAATTAGCACCTAATTATGCAATATGTTTGATTGTGTTCTGATGACCTTGCTCTGCTAGGTTCATGGACATCTATTCTACGCCGATCTTCTCAAGATTGTTACAAGTCCCTCCAACATTTTTTAGATAATTTCCGAAAGATTTTAAAGAACTGCTAAAAAATGCTTGATATTTGCTAATTTATAACGAACTTGGTAATAACAAAGTTAGCAATAAATCAACCACAAAAAAACTAAAATTTATGTGTTTCTTCCCTTTTTTCTAAAATCATCTTCACCCATTCCTCTCCTCTTCCGCCACTTCAGTCCTGCTTTCCATTGCTGTTGCCACCTCTACGTTCCCATACCATATGCTCTTTATCTTCCTATTTCTCTCCACAAATTTTGCATTTCCTTTCTTCTTTTCTCCACCTCTCCTTCTCTCTCTCGTCGTTTCCGCATCTAAACCTGGCCAGTATTTTGATATTTTTTCTTGCCGACGGCGTTAGATATTTCGGCAACCGACTGTTTCGTCGTAAGTTCTCGATGTTCACCCTGTTGCTATGCCCCTTTTTGTAAGTTCATCTTCCATCCTTTCCTCTATTTAGCTGCTCCTTTCTACATCAGCCTATCCGTTTTTGTTTGAACACCCCCACATCTACGTTCCATACATAACCAATCACCCCTTTCACCATTGCATCAAAAAATGATTGTCTTATTCTTCTTTTCTGTCTCCTATTCCCCACACGTGTATCATCGCCACGTCCTCCTTCTTTTTTAGTTCCCTTGTTATTTCCCTTAAAAAGGCATTTTCAGTACATCAGTAGGTATCATCATAACACTGGGTTATTTTTCCCCAATTTTTTTCTGTTATTATAAATTAAAATATGGTATAACTGAATATACGTGCCGAGATGCTAAAATGGAACTATTGGGATTTGACATTACTCGAGTGCTTCCATCTAACAGTCTGTAAATTATAATGTAATCTAAACAAATACTTGTAAAGTGGCCAGCAACATTCGAAGAATTGTAATGGTAAAAACCAGTTTACAACCCGTCACTTCTATAATGATAGGCAATTATAGTAATAATGACATAAAAAGGTTAGTTTACAGCTAAATATCAAGTTAGAGTCAATCTATACAATGCCGTTTATTGAAAAAGAACGAAGATATTTCCGCTTATGCTATTAAAGCTAGAAACGTTTTAAGATTGGCTTGCCATTATGCTAGCGCACTTCAATAACTGTTCAATGAGGAATTTGAAAAATTCCATTACTTGAAACCTGAAACGATTCTCTGTGTTACACTGCTCCGTTAAGTTTTTTTAATGTGAAATTTTCGCATATTTACGTGCGACCTTCTAGATTTCGGGTCTGTCGGCGAGCATAAAAAAGTATTATTAGCTGAAACAAAAGAGGTTTCATAATACGACTGAGAAAATAGTCTTTGTTGGTTTTAGGTAATGCTTCTAAACCGAATATAATTTTAACTATTAGCGATGTAAGTATTAAATATGCTTTATGTACTAAAAACATCTGTATTGCCAATTGGTGACATTTTCTGTCTTTAATCATGAGAAATTCAATTGTCAGTGGGCCATGTATGTACCCTTGAGGAACGCCTTAATCAATTCGCATATTTTATAACTTGTTTTTTAAGCAGTAAGAAATGAATTTTAAGAAAATATTTAAACTAATGTTTCACATTACACCATTTTTCCCCTGAAGACTGTTTGCGAAGGGCAGACGCAATTGTTTTGTAATAGTTGTGATGATCTTAGAGGTCTCGAATTCAGCAATACAATTTTGAATGACCCTATACTTACAGTTGGCTACCCTGGAAAAGCAGAACTATCACACTTTCATGTCAAGATGGCAGACGTTTCGCGCCAGTTTCAAATTTGATAGTAGTTGACTCGGACTGGGTTCTACGTTATATTACTATGGCGATGGCGGTCCCGGTCCTACCAGTAATTGCGACTGTTTACCATTCAATTCGGGCAAGACTTATTTATTTATTTAACCACAGGTCTCATTAGGAAGGGATTTGACTGGAACTGAAGTGTAGTGCGTAAAAAAAATGAAATATATTACGTCCGAAAAACCAGAAAAAAAAACCAACATGGAAGAACACAGGTACAAGACTATGACAACAAAATGCAAAAGAGAAATACATAAACCAAACATAATATATATAATATATCATAGCAATCTGGTAATCGAGTAGTTAGAGGACCTCCCTTCTTGTATTACTAAGACATAACTCACAAGAGCTGCAGTTCGCACGATACGAGAAAGAAACGGTTACAGCGAAAAACTGTATCAGACGCTTTCTCCACTGTATAAACGGTTAATAGAATCATACAGAGCAAGACACTAGAGAATCTCCCCTCTCATGAATACATAAGTTAATTCTTAATAAAATAATACAAAGGCATAATCATATGTACATTATAACAAAAAATTCACTTTCGACTCGGCCGATCAGGTGTAGGTAGATTTCTATAAGTGTTCGCCATTTTGTCCCAATATGGCGGAATTGTCTGATTCACGAACATGACCGAGATATTTATCAGTTTCAGTTACACCAAGTCACCAACCCTTAAAGTTTGGTCGAAATCGGTTCATAATTACGAAAGTTATAGTGTTTCTTGGAAGTGATATATATATAAACAGCTAAAACATGGTAAACCTATAAATCTATAAATATACTGGTACCCGAGCTGGTACCATTACAATAGTTAGACGAAATCTACCTAAAAAACATTATTCTAGGTACGGTATACAAAACAATAGTTTGGACCACGCCATGCTTCAATAAACAGATATCCAAATTTTTTTTTAACATGATCCATCGTTCCTCTAAATGTATGGGGAAGGCTTTGAGATGCGATTTTCTTAATCTTTGACAGATATCAAAATGTAAATAATAGCAAATTGTGACACGAATTTCACGTAATTACACTAGTAATTACACTTTTCAAAACAAATAAAATAAACATTGAGAAACAGTTATGCTGACACGTTATTCGAGCAATCGAAAAATCCTTGTTTCCAGCATCGGCTCAGAACGGTTAAGGTCGAAGACTTATCACGATTACTGTATACATAGCGTTTCGTATTTTTTTCCATACTACTATTCTTTCAGCTGTAAGGCATATGGCACCATATAGTGTATAATAAATTTAAAATTAAAACAAAATGCGTCTTTGAAAGTGACCACTTGCTCGAAATTTCCTTTGGCGAAATCTTTTTATCAGCATAATACCCGACCCTTGGGATAGGAACTACTCCCCGCGTTCGGGTTTCCGGAAAATGTTAAATGATCGGCTTATTATTTACATAAAAATAAACATTGTTTTTGTTTTCAGGCCAAGACGTCGTTCGGGCAGCAGCATAGTCGTGCTAGATGGCGAATTGGACACGGTAAAGAAGCCACCCGACGAACTCGAATTACCCGATTACAATATGGTTATGATGTTGGCCGGCGACAATGGACCGCATCGCGAAATGGCCGTCGACGTTCCCGACACGTTCATCGCAAGAAATAAGACGCCCCCTCGATATCCGCCACCCAAACCGAAACTGCAGGTACTGTCCACAAGTCGCACTTTATTGCATGTCTGTCATTTATTTATTTATTTTTTTGGTTGTTTATAATTAGGTAGGCTATAACCGTTTACTTGGAGTAACGTTTGGGGATAGCAGTAACGAGCGTGCTATAGACGTACCGGATACTATTTTCGAAAGTAAAATACCAACATCAAAATCTACATCTCACGTTAAGGTAAATAGTAGCATTTAACGTTGGTCTCTTATCTTTGTATATAGCTACTGGTTTCACACTCAAGTATTATCGCACGCCTCGGCTGCCACACTTAAAAATGACCCACTGTATATGGTTCAGTGCATACTTCCACGAACAGTATTTTTTTAGGTTAGAAACAAAAACTATTACAGGGTGGCTTGTTTTCCAATCCACAATTCTCCTCTTCTGTTTCTCTCATTCTTTGGTCCTTGTGAGTTGTGACCACACTGGACGTTCCCCTTCCTCTGTTGCGTTTTTCTACTTTTTATGTTTCGCGATTCACATTTCTTTCCTGCTTTTCTTCTTTTTCTGTACCTCGCTATACAGGGTGTTTCGAAATTCGCGCACACGAACTGTGGGATGGTGTTGTACAACGAAAACTATATAAAAAGTTCCTCTACCAGTTTTTGATCAGACCGGCACTTTTTTTTTCGACGTGCTGAAGCTTGTTGTAATTACGTATTCTTCATAATTATAGTTTATTTTGAACCTTCTTTTGTTTTTAAAAATGTGTTATTATTAAGTTTCACCAGTGGCGCAGCGTAGGGGGGGGGCGGACATTTTTGAAACCGCTGTAGCTCGAAAATAGCGGTCTGATGCAAAACTGGTAGAGGAACTTTTTGTTCAGTTTTTGTCATATAACATCATCCCATAGTCCGTGTGCGCCAATTTTGAATCACCCTGTATGTCCAGTCCGGGTGGCGTTTTTCACGTTACATAGTCTACATTGCCTTTCCTCTTCTTCTCTCCATCTTTCATCTCGTCTTCCCATCGTATTTAACCTTTCAATTTTTTTGAAATTATTTTTTTTAAATTGTGTTAGGCAGAACTTGAAACTGTCCATCGCTGAGTTGAAATAAAAACAACCAAATTTTGTAATGACTGTCAAGGTCGGTTCTCTAGGTCTCTAATTTTTGTTTAAAATGAGGGACTGGCAGCTTTTCTAAATTGAACGACGTAATATATCGGTGCAGTGATACTCAAACTGCGGAAAGCCAGCAGTTGCATTTTCAAATGTCGCAGCCAAAGTGGTTTGAAGCAATGGGCACGCACGCTCTCTACAACTACTATTTCTACAGAACTACTTCAAGTAGCATTGTATCTAGTGTTAAATAGTTCTTTTCTTTGTAATGTAATATGGGGTTAATTTACCCACTCTTTCGGGACTAAATTAACATTAACATTTGAATACATTTTGCAATCTAATGACAGTTAAACTTAAAAGTAAATACCTACTGTGATGTAGGATGCATCTAATTTGTGACAATTCAAGCTTCCAATCGTGTCTTTTGAAAATGTTTAAAAATTCCCAACACTTTGATTCGTTTTTCATTCTCATGGTTCGGTTATAATAAATTTATAGTAGCACGGAACAGCAATTTTGATTCGCTATACATTGTTCGTAAACATCCTGTATAAATGCGTTTATACGACCGCTGTTCTTAATGCGGAAATGAAATTTTTGATTTGAACGTGTCATAAAAAAACAACAATACGAACCATTTTGTAATGAGAATACTTAATGGTTGGTACTCTGTATAATTACAGGATGGGTCACTATTGTAATGCTAGAATATACAAATCACACAAACTGCCAGAACAGGGTCACGGTCGTCTGTTGCTCCACAATTTAAACGAAATTACGCATTTCATTTTCTCACATTTTTCCCTGCAACTCGCATTGCTATTTTTTTACTTTTTATCTCGAAGACGAAAGGAATTCTAAACATTCATTCTAATTACCTTCATGTCGCAATTCAAATTCAAGTCTACGGTGTATAATATTCCAGTGATTATAAAGAGTAATAAAGCGATAAAACAAAAATTGTCTTTTATGTTTCCAATGAGAATATTCAGGATAACATAGCATTTGATTGACAAATTGTACCCGCCTGTCGACTGTGGATGGTGTTTTTTTCTACTGGTAACAAAATAAATGTTAATTAATAACAAATTTTTAAACGAACTTGATTAGTATATGATCATGGAATTTATAACTATCCTATAAATTGTCCATTTCGTGTTAAATTAATTGAATACACTTCGTAGTGCAAAAAATTGACTACGGCTCTTGAATGTGCTTTTTGAAACATATGCCATACGCTCGTCATCCGTGCTCTGTGGGTTACATACCATCCTCAACAATTATCTAGTTCACTTACTTTCAGCGACTTTTATCAGAGTATACTTACTCTTTGCTTTTGTACAAAATATGGAATTATTAAGTGATATTGAATCCATATGGTTGAACTCTCATAGTCATTACTGTGTTAATTAGTATTGCACTTCAAATTTGATCTATATATAGTACTTACTTCTATTATTTCATGAAATGGCGAAATCGTCCAAATATTTAAATAAAATATTTTCATAGCACGCTAGATGTAGAAGTTACAGGCTACACTTTCTTATTTCAAAAAAAGAAATTCATTTGAATGCATCGCCATCATGTTTTGTTGAGAAATGAATGTAAAACTTCTAATTTTGATATTTTCTTGTCAATCTCTGTAAAAGCATAGAGTGTGACATGTCATTATTTTTTTTATCCTCTTATCTCATTCCGTAAAAATCCAATATGGCGCCCATAATAAATAAGAAAGTAGTAGCCTGCAGCTTCTAGCAATGTTTGAAAAAACCCGTTTTTTTTTAAATCCCAACCCACTGGGCCCAAGTGGGTTTTTTCGGGTAAAAGTGGGTAATAGTACTTTTTCGATCGGAATTAAACAATTCCACAACATGAAAAAAAACGCGGCGCAATATTGTGGTTGTGTTCTGGTGGTTTACTTTTACACGAGCTTTTACATTTTACTATGGGTAAGAATAAGAATACAAGTTTTGAACTGTTTTGAATTGTTAACTAATACCAAACGAACTCAAATGGATGTATCTATGTTTTATTTTTATATTTTAAAAATTAAAAGTGATTCGTGTATATGTGATTTAAAATATACTTTTGCCATATAAATTTATTTCAAACCAGCCCAAGTCAAAAAACTTAATTATTTCAAAATAAAAAAACCCACTAATGAAAAACCCTAGTGGGTCCAACCCGAAAAAACTCAGTGGGTTTTTACGGGTTGGGTTCATTCAGGCGAACCCTGGCTTCTACATCTAGCGTGTTATGGAAATTCTGATAACAGATTCAAATTTTCCGAAAAAAAACTGCCCATAGAAAGTGCCAACGAAAACCGTCCATTTCCGACCGTTTAACTTAGGGAAAATGACATTTGACATTTTCAGCTTTTCAATGATATGTCAGTTATTTTCAAAGTTTATCAAAAATTTCAAAGCGTTGTTTTAGTCACAAAAAGGAGCAACTGTGTCCCCATTTAACCTACACTGTAGCTCTCACCGTTACAGAGGTATACAGGGTGTCTTAAATTGAGTAGGATAACATCGCTATCTTTGTTATGATTATACAGATTCGGTTAAATTGGCAAAGTTGTGTAGTTTTTTCTGCTAATGGATATTCCGATGCGATATTTTGAAAAAAATAAATCGTTTCGTAGATAATTCAAAAAAGTGAAAATCGCCATTTTTTAAAAGTTCAAATATTTTAGTAACAAAGAGAGCTATCAAATAAAAGTTTGAAGATTGGATGGGATAAATGCAATGAACGTACTTTCCGAGATATTGACATCAACTTCCTTATTTTAAATGGACGCCATATTGGATTTTTGGATTTCACTCGATATAGAAAAAAATTAGAAAACCAGTGATACTAAACACTTAATATTTCATTTGGGAATCAACCTTACATTTTTGCCTCACAGTTTACAATGTAATATCTTTTGGCGCTAGTGCGCGTTCCAGTATAATGAGACCGCTTGGGATGTGAGACATAATCGGGTAGGGAATTGAATAAAATGCAGAATTTCGTGCGTACGAAAAGACAAGAACATATAAAATATATTACGCACACTAAAAGGCTATACCAAGGAAACCTTCTTCGGGACAAAAACCCCTGAATAGCCCACACAAATACATGAAATAAATCAGCACCAAATGTACGATCAATTCGTAAAATGATAAATTGCGTGTACATAAAAAACATTCAAAGCATCGATCTGCTCCAAGCATCGACTTCAATTAATTTAATACGGACAATTCAAGTGAGAAATGCCAGTAGTATTCATGTTCAAGTCGATTATCGTACAAGCAAATCACATAAATAGGAGAAATGTCTTTTCTCGTATTACTAAGACACGAGAGCTGCAGTCCGCACGAGAAAGAGAGCAACATATACAGCGAAGAATCGTACGGTATTAAGTACTTCCTTCGCTGAAATTAGTTAAACTACTCATACAGAGAAACATCAAGTTAGAGTATCCCCTTTCTCGTATATGCCAAGACACAAGAGCTGCAGTCCGCACGAGATGAGCAACAACACGCGCGATAATAAACTCCCACGTGAATACATAAATAAAAACCCAATAAATCAATATAGAGGAAAACTCATTTCCTTTATGGTTTTTCTTGCGATAATGTGCGGCTTTTGCCCAATTAGAGGGCGAATTTGATGCAAAATCAAATTGTGTCTCACCTTTAGTAATATTAACCGTTGCTGCTATAATCTAATTGATATACTCATATTTTTTACACACAATTTTGTGGTTATCTTAACTGTAAAATACGGCTCGTGTAATGACATGACACCACAGTTATTTATACTCGTAAAATACGGGTAGTGACAATTTTTTTTTGCAGATATTAGAGGTACATGCGAATTGATCTGTAGATGTTACAATGTGAAACCTTTTTTTAAGGGCTCTATATTAATTTTTTATACTTGGGGGGGGGGGGGAATTGATTAACTAACTATACGTATTAAGTTTGTCGTATTTATATTAGTATAAGCAAATATTATGAAGGCTATCGAAGCTCAGTTGCATACCCGTCGTTCATTGACTTACAACAGTCGGAGATGCGGGTTCGAACCCTAGTCCGCGCGATTTTTTCAATAATACATCACAGCAAAAAGAATGGAACCAAGGAGTATGATAGATAATAAAGTGGTCACTTTTATCGCACTCAACCAGAGCCACGTTCGAATTTTTTTATTGCTTTATCTTGTTCTTTTTGAATATTGGTCCTAATGGAGGGATCTAAAACGAATTTTAGGTGAGCTGCTGAAAAATGGCTGCTATGGGAGAGTTGCATGCACAAATTTGTTTTGTTTTGTAAACTGTGTAATGTAATTCGAACTAATTTGTCACGTCAGTCACGATTTAATTTGTGCTACAATGGTCTAGTGGTAAGGCTTGCACACGGGCGGGTCGAATTCGTGGTACGAAAATTGAGGTATATTGTATTGGGGTAAAAAATGCCCCCCCCCCCCCCAATCAAACAAAATTTCTGTCTGTTGGTCCGTCGGTCCTTCTGTACTCTCATTTCCGGCTAAACGGCTGAACCGATTGGAACTAAATTTGGACTTTGTACACATATTCCTCGACATAAAAGGAAGAGCGCAAGTGTTTCTTTCAAGCTCTCATTTCCGACTAGACGGCTGACTCGATAGGAACCAGATTTGGTACAAACTTATACAAAAATGCTCCAGACATGCGCAGTGTATGGAACGGACTATCGTCGTTTCAAGCAAGTAGGGCGTAGGGTGCTATTTTCTGGCTGCTAACTTCACACGAGTTTAGATTTCTTGTGCTAATAAAAAATCGCCTAACGGTAGGCAGCCAAAAGCGCATTCTTCCAATCACAATAGGTAGTGAAAATTTTAAAGTTGCTTCTCGATCTGCTTATTACAATGACTTAGCGTTAGGGAGTACTTTTGTATTAAACAGCATTGACACTAAAAGAACGGATCGATTATGTATTAAACTGTTACAATAAGTAGATAATGTGACTGTTACATAAGACAACATAAACTAAACATGTTTTTGCCATAAAAAGAATAAATTGTGTTAGCCTTCTAGTTAATAAGCGTAGCTGCAGACGACTATTAATTTTGTATTCAGCCGGCATTTCTAATACAATGTATAATTTCAATCTTTCTGATCTAGCAAAACAATGTTAGCTTCCACCGCAATTCCAGTGGTACCATGACCTATTTCTGTCATTTACGTTCCTTTGACGAGAATGTGTCGTAAATCAGATCGCAAATATCTGCGCCTTATGTGGTGCAAACGAAAGTCATTTAAAAGTTTTAATTAGTTAACCACAAGGGAATAGTCTTGTTCTTAGCGTTTTGCACTATTAATAATTACGGACATTTGAGTTTGTTCAACTAGAAACGCGCAGAATGTGTTAGAGTATCCTCGTGGGACGTGGGTAATTTTTCGCCACGGTCCAGCAATTTACTTCCCGTTTCAGGAGAACTATTTTACCTTCTTGTTAAACGCATTGGAAGCTTGTAGTTTTCGCTAATATCCTCTTAGTTTAATTACGCTTCTCAAATTGTAGATTATCCAGAACGAATGTTGTAAAGTTTTCTCTTTGATTTTAGAGTGGATTAAATGGAACGGCGGCGTCGCCCGCCCTCAAGCCGGTACCGCCACCAAGAGATCACCTCAAAATCGAGAAGGACGGTCGACTTGTAAATAGAACTCCAGCACCTCAACTACCAGCTAGAATAACAAATAACAACAACAATAATATCACAAGCAGTCCCGCTCAGCTATCGACCACCATAGCCACAACAGCTGAACCTACACGAGAACAACTGGATAGCATAAAGAAGTATCAGGTGAGTTTCAATCGGTCACCGTTGATTTTGCGTAATGAAAAATGTTGGTTAGTCACGTAAAATAAGTACAGTACGGACGCAGGAAATTGCGATTAAACCAAGGAAAAGTTCAAAGGTTACGTTTATTTTAACGGCGCTTCTTAATCAATCAAGCTGACTTTTATTACTTGCTCACTAATAAAAATAAAACATCAAGTCCTAAATGGCATTGCATACTAATTAAGTAGGTAAACCCGTTAAATCTATTCGAAGGACGAAATTATGGTTTTGGCGTTTTGCTCTCTTAATCATAACTCAAATAATTAACCAAGTAGGTATGTTTTGTTTAGGTAAATTTGGAACAAATGGTTTAGAATTAACTCTTTTTAAACTTCATATGAAATCGAATGGAAAAAGTCCTAGAACATACAATTCACAGGTGGTTAACAAAATTAAATCTTCCATAATGAGAGATAAGTGATTAGTCTAGATTAGTCTACTTCGAGAATTCACAACATCTGGTTAATCGCCATAATACATACCGCCTTCTGAGTTTCAGTGGTTGTAGGAGGGTTGAAATCGAACGCTTACATTTCCCATTAAAAATTTTGCGAAGACCGTTCAACCGTTTATCAATAATCAGCATTTAAATATGTGCAAATTTTTTCGCATTACTTTAAACGTATTGTCTATCGTAAACCGGAAATTCGCCCACTCATTTAAATATTATTCATAAACAATTGGAGATGAACATATGTCATGGCAGAGTTTTTTGTTAAACATTTAGTCCTCTACATTTGATGTTCAATATTTTTTCCTATGTCTATATCGTTTGCCCATTGCTTTGAATTAAATGCGCGCGATGTGATTTTCTTAAAATACCACCATAAGTCTTCACTGAATGGATGGATAGACTAAGACTACTAAGAGCAAACTTATTATTTGAAATAATTATAACGTCCACGTTATGGGTTATAATTACAACGGTAATCGTGTTCACAATGGCCAATCATCACTCGTCTAGACAAGATGCAATCGGCGATGGTAAGCTCCAGGTAACTCGAATGGAAACGCCGTTCCCAGGAATTCTAAAGGGCAAGCGGTGGGCGGCTTCTGATAAATGCTAAAACAAACTTAAAGCGCATAGCAAATTCTCTAAGCTGGAATAGTAAATCATCGGATGCGATAGCGGTTTTTACGGGAAAGCAAATGCAGGAAAGCGAGACAATATACCCTTTATAATTAATGAAACGGAAAACAAAAGTTTGCAAGTAACGGAGCGGTAGGAAACTGTGCAGTAAACTTAATGTAGAAGAGGATGAAAGCAAAATAGATTTACGGAAAAGCTCAAAATAGCGGTAGTTATACAAAACGTACTTTGCAAAGATGCAAAAGGCAGAAAGGAAAAATTTAAATACAGTTAATTCAAAAAGATCCCTTATATAAAGTTCGGCTATGCCGTGGTGGGAACGTACGAAATTCCAAGTCGAACGGCGTATTCGGTTATCTGGATCCAAAAATGACAACTTCTGTAATTAATTACGTCCTTCCCAGACGTTTTAAAAATACGGGACCGGTGTAAAAATTCAAGTTTTTTAACGGCGCAGCCGCACTTAACGGATTTAATCGGAGGCTGTTATCTGTAACCCATTTAACTAATTACGGTTAATTATACCTATCCAAATAGTCGGAATGAAATCTCCGAATTCGGTAGTCCAGCAATCCCTTTTGTTTTTTTGCAATGTGAGGTCAAGCGGCATAATCTTTTATCACGTTGATATTTTTCTTAAACTGCACGACTATAATCTAAAAACTATAATCGATTAATGGGTAATTAACAGACCTAAAACTGAAGAAGATTGATTCTTTCTCTTCTTTCTTGGGAACAGAGCTTTCAGCGGCTATAAAAACCATATAAATATTCCTAGGGGAACGGTTGCAAACGGCAAATTAAATACGGCATCTTATTTTCCTTAACGGGCGGCTCTACAAATTAACCCACTAATTCTATCGTATATTTTCAACTTCTACACAGAAATAAATATTTTCGGAGCGACAATTCGTCACGAAGGGCCCAACTTAAAACCCTTCTAGATACCGGGTGCTCAGCAGAGCGGGTCCACTCCACAAATATACGATTTGATCCTAACTTCGGGTATGAAACTTCAAGGCGAAAACGGGTGTTTCGTTACAAAATGAGACGCAACAGCAAAAATATTCTCAATATTCGACCTAAAACCGGGATACTTGCAGATACAACTCGCGTTAGATTCACGTGCCTTGCCACTACACAAGCCCAGATGGAGGCAATGTCCCAATGATGTCATTCGGTTAAAAATCGAGCCATCAACTTGTTAAAGCAATAGGATACCTAGGAACTTTTCGATGGTCTGCCATTCGTAATATACTTCAACACCTAGGAAGACCATCTGGACCACATGCAACTTGTCGTAGCACGGCCCCAATAGCAAACACTCAGGTTATTGTGCCGAGAAGTGTCGTCTAGGGATGACTTTACTAAAGCATTGATTACATCATCGGTGAGACCATTACCAGAGTCAGAGCGGAGGCTTCCACGACCAGGGTCAGTAAGATGCGAGCAAATATCGGGATAGGGGTAGACCGGAAGTCGCTCACAATCAACTGGTCGAGAGAGTACGTACTATGATGCGTCGGGATACTAGGAACTCTGAACAATCTCCTCAAGAAAGGTCACTTTGTGTGGACCCCCAGTGGCGACTAAAAAGCATTAGTAGTCCCCACTACAAAAAATCCTTCAAAAATTTCGTTTATTTACATGAAATAATCACCGTCTCAAAAATTAGGCACATCATTGTTGCTAAACTCATTTCTTCTTTCTAGTTGTAATTGCACCCAAAATAGCCCTACTTTTATAGGATAAGCAATATCACTCTCAAATAATCGCGTCGCGATCATACAAATTTCACGAAATTTAAAATTTGCAAAATTCGTATCGTCAGCTGTGATATTCTTCATGAGCTCGTAGAGTAGCATTTTAATGCACGTATTAAATTGCACTCCTCTCCGAAAGAGGTTAAAATGAAAAATGAAGGTTTTTCGACAACAGCTGGGCCAAAATTTTTATCTTTAAATATATAAAATTCTTCTGTACGTATGCTTGTGACTGAACTCCTCTTAAACGGCTGGACGGATTTTGATAAAAACAATTTTTATGTGCCTGTGTGTTCCCGCATGGTTTGTAATCACAATTGGAGCCGATCGAATTATAGAATTTTTTAACTTCTTTTTTCGTTGATGTCGCACTCTGCTGTTTCGTGTACCGATCGATATATCCGCCAAGTCACTTGTGTCGTACCGTGACGATCTGTTTACTGTTTTAAATTCTGTACGCTGGGTTTCCGGTATCATATATCCGTCAATATTGAGCGTGCGAGAATGGGGGGGATCTAGTTTCTTTTAGTATATATTTTAGTCCTCGTTCATTAAAATAGTGTGTTTTTCCTTTTTCAAAGGCATTGGAGAGCAAACATAAAGATCCCTAGTTTCAATCTGCGAGAAATTCCATTTACTGTTCGATTTTTAAAATTAACAAAAACGAAAATCCGAGGATTTAAATTGTGGCCAAAAAAAATAAGCCCAAAAATTTTAATTGTGCTCAGTGTCACTAGAAAACTTACAAGAGAGAGTCGCTACAATTGTACCTACCACTTATTTCTAAGTACATTCCAACTCCCAAATCCGAAGTGGCCAAGACATCATTAATAATTACTTGATGTTCGTAACCATTTAAACCTATACATCTCTAGTAGCACTAAGGACTTCTCACTTCTGTATAAGGATCATAGGAGAAAATAAGAACCATAAGAAGCATATCGATCGTTAGAGGTGACGACGAGGTCAAATTCACGAACTTTATTTTCCATCTTAACCTTACCATTTGCCTTACCTTTGTTTATGTGGGGAAGGTGTGAAAATTTAGATCCGGATTTCTTCTGGAGGTTGACACAACAAATTATCTACTCTTGACATTGCTTATTTTGCAGTCGTTACAAACAAACTTATAAGTAGCTATCTAAACGTCTCAGGAATGTTTAAGTTCTTTTTATTGCCGCTAGAGGTCTCACCCTTATAATTAAAATCACAATTAAACTCATTCTAGCCATTGACATATAGAGATGAACTGCGCGTGCCAATCATAAGCGCGGATACTGCAGATGAGAGAGAAGGGCCTGATGTAAAGTTGCTAGCAGGATTAAAATCAAAGATAAAAATCGAAAGCAAATTGCGGCAAACCGAAAGATCAACATAGTCAGTTGATAAAACGGCGATCCAAAGGAAACGGCGGAGGTTAAAAGGCATAGGACCTTTCGTCAAAAATGAATCCCGTGGAGTGGGATTGCGATTTTTTGGAAGTAGTTTCTTTTCAGGATCAGAGTTAGAATTGTTATTCGCTCTTTGGCAAATCCAAACATCAGATCTGATTGAAGTTTTGCATAAATTATCATCAGTCTTCCAAAAAAAGTTAAAATTCTCGGCCTCATCCAACACGACTGAAGAAGCTGAAACAATAACATTTCTAAACTTAATTCAAATTTAAGTTAATCGAATTTCTTAATAGAAATTTATAACAAAAATAATGATCATTTAGGAAGATTAGGTAAGTCACTAATTAATTGTTGCAGATGTTTTTTTGTAATTAACACAATTCATGTTATTCTATTCTTGAAAGTTTTCTAAAATAAACTCTAATTCCGTCTACAGTCTTCTGAACGAGCTAAATTCGTATGTTAAACTCTGAATTATGCATTGAATGTGAGGAGCTTGTTTCTTACGCCAACGCATCGAAAAAGGACTCGAGCAAATCCATTTCATTAATTAAAGGCACGACGAGAACCCTACGTATATCCAAACAGACTAACGTTTCACTTCCAAATCACCCAAATTCATAATAATGAAATTAATTTGCCCACATCACAAACATAATCATTAAACCCGGTTATTGTGTATCCATATTAATTTGTAGGTAATTGGGATAGTCC